AGGAAAGAGATGATGCAGATGAGCCTGATTCACTCTGTAAGAGCAGAGCTGAGGATTCTGTGATGAAAAAGAAACTCTGCCATGGCCAGCAGCTTCAGCCCGTGTCTGAGAACTCCAGCCTGCCCTTCCAGATGGCCTAGCCCTCCACCAGCCAGCCCCAAATGCAATAAACCAACTCTGGGCAACAAACTTCTAAATATATATCTGCCACTGGCTGTTTCTCCAGTGAAGCCCTGGTTGATAACACCACAAAATTTTAATGGGCACCCTTGGCTGAAAACTGGGAAATCATTCAGGATAGCGGTTATGCCGAAGGGCAGCAGAAACAGTAACCCGAGGGTAGCTCTCATCCCCTCCGCCTGGGGTCTCTGTGACAGCAGTTCCTGCGGCTGTGAAACAGGGACCACAGCGTCTGCCCAGGCACCTTGCGAAGATGCGCTCGTGTACAAGAGCTCAGCGGCGCGGGACCGGGGCCCACCGTGCTCGGGCTCTTCTGGCCTCGAGCAAGAAAACGCCATCCAAACAGAAAATGAACCTGGCGTTCACCTCTCGGCTTGGAGTGGAAAGTTTAGGACTCTGTTCAGTCTCCTAAATATCCTCCCCCTACACACACGCCCTGTCTTCTACAGCAGCCAGGAGGACATCAGAGCACGCACAGGGACAGCCAGTGGCACAGGACCTGAGCTGGGTCACGCAGCGGTGGTAAACAAGAAACAAGGCACGGAGCTGGGCAGCGAGGAGCTCCAGTGTTTAAAGCTACGGACACGGGGAGAGTGGTGGAAAGCCTGCCCTGCCTTCCGCTAGCGCAGTCCCTTTTGGGGACTGGAGTCACCCAGGTTCTCCTCCGCGGCTGCGCAGTACGCACAATCCGCCCCCACCCCCACTGCGGTCCGGCAGACCAGTGCCCTCTGGTGGCCGCGTGCTACCGTACCTACTCCCGGAGCAAGAGCTGGTGCTGAAAAGAGCTCTGAGACCTTGGGGTTTACGGATGCTTTCTGAGCCACCCGTGCGCACGCACTCCAGGCCTCTGATGGACAGAGGGACCTGACGCTTCACCTGTTTACTTAGCTGCTAGCCATCTGTGCACGACTTCAGCCGCTCCTGTCACTTCTGGGTCTTTGGCCCCTCACCTACAGGACAGGAGGGTTCAAATAGGTTCTGTCTAATTTTAACACCTAGGACGTGGGATGGAAGTCCGGGGTTCTGTAACCTTCAAAGCTTTGGTAGAGGAAGGGGAGGCAGCCGAGGGTACCGGAGCCAGTAACTGTCACGGGGCCGGGTGCAGGGAGGTCTGCTTTGGATTTGGCGATCAGAACATGCATCCCCCACCTTTGGGTGCAACAGGGAAGCAGGGGCTCTACAGGGCATATTTAGGAAGAAGAGACAGGGGAGGAAATGTTCTCCATACAGTATTGGCTGGGAAAGCAGGAGAGAAAGTGAGGGTTGCTAAGATGAGGGAGATGGGTTGAAAGAGAAGTTTTAAGGGAAGGAATGGTCTCCACTGGCCTCGTTGACAGATTTTTCTCCGTGGGTAAAATGAACAAATGACTTTAGCTCACGAGCAGGGGAAGGAAAATTCCGGAAGAGCCTGTGGGCTTAGTGCAATAGTCTTCAGCCTGGGATCCTTTCCAGAGCACGGCACCTCAGGCAGCTTGGGTAAGGAAATCTGTTTCTAGGGCAGGGTAGCCCTAGACTTGGTCTGCCCACTTGTCCTGTCAATGCACCTTTCCATTTCTTTGCCCCTAAATGCTCCTTTCCTCTCATTTGTAATGGAAAAAAAAAAAAAAAAAAGCAGCTCTCTTAACAGGTTATAAACTCGGCAGGTAATAAAAATTCCTGGGGCTCTGGCCAGGCAGGCAAACTGGAAATTGGTGTTGTGAGATCTTCTGGGATCAAGGAACATATACAGCGCCCTGCCCACCTTCCATCTTAGGTGGGACATTTCCAGCTTAAAGTTTTAGAACTGATTATTTATCAAAAATGACAACATAGCTGTACATCACTATGTTGTTGATGATGGTGAGCATAACAAAAGGAAGATCTCTGCAGAGAATTTAACCACGGGAAATGTAGTTTCGCTTTACAGACACGTTTACTATAGAAAATATAGGATGATCAAAAAGACACACATAAAATTATTGGATCAGGATAACAATCTGCGAAGGAAGGAAAATTAACATAGGGCTTCAAGGCCAGAAGGGAGCAGAGTTTTTAAATTGCTTGTTCTTGTGTGCATTCAGTGGCACCTGGAAGGTAACAATAGCTATGGTGTTTATTTTCTAGTGGATATAGATTGTAAAGTAACGGTGATTTTATTCTAAAATGCAACATAGTTGTATGGAAATGTAGTCTTGCAATTACTCAAACTTCTGGTTAAGAACTTGTAGAGGGCAACTTTAACATATGTAAGAGAGTTCTTCATGTTTGAATGTTATTTTAGGGGTATATGAGCAAAAATGCCTGGTGGCCATTGGCATATCAGATGAGAGAGGAAGGCAGAGGGTCCCTTGTTTGTGGGGCTTCATGGACTCCTCAGGCATCACCAGGGGCAGCTCTACGGGCACCAGTTGGCACCAGCCCTCTTACATGCTTGACTTTCAGCTCAAGAGCTTGATTTCAAGGGAAGGAACCTGAGTGGCCTGGGTTGTGTTGGGTTGTGCTCAGAGGCAGAGGAGGGACACCACATCTGAAAGTTGTGCCAGGATCACTTGAAATATAGAGGGTGCAGTTTCCTGAAGGAATGCAAACAGCACTGGCCCACTGCAGACAAGCTCCAGGGGAAGCTACCAAGAAGTGAGAGGATAAACGACGGCTGGGGCATCCCAAAACAGGAGCCTGAGTTTAAGGAGAAGAATTAGACAGAGTGACCTTTTCATGTGTGGCAGGAACTAGGAGGGAAAAGTAGATGAAGATGCTGCAGAGTGTACAAGTGGGCTGAAAGATCCAAAAAGGAGGTCCAATGCATGGACCACCTGCTCAGGGTGAAGGGTAGGCTTGTAGGTTATATCTTCTCATTTATTGTCTTCTGCTTTTCAGGACTCTGTGTTAACAGTCTAATATTCTTGGCACATGACATAATCCATAACATAATACTACAGGCAGGGTGGTTTATAAAAAAAGAGATTTCTTCCTTACAGTTCTGAAGGCTGGCAAGTCTAAGATTGAGGGGCTGTGTCTGATGAGGATCTTTTTGCCACATCATAATAGAAGGCATCAAATAGCAAGATAAAGCAAGTGTGTCAGCTCCCTTTGTCCTTGTAAAGCCATTAACACCATTGTGTCCCTAGCCTGCATGATTTTATTTAATCCTAACTAGTCCCCCAAAGTTGTGTCTCCACATATGATCAATACATAAATTTGAAGATTAAGTTCCCGATGCATGACCTTTGGGAGTACATTCAAGCCATAGCATCAAGTAAAAGTTAAATTCTCTTTTCAGAGTGGTCTCTGAAGGAGTGCTGTTGGAGGAGCTCTGTATGAGGAACTGGAACATTTCCAAGTCATGGCACCCATGGTCCCTGGTGGTGACCCAGACCTACACACCTGAATGAGCTTCCATCCGCTCACAAGCACCTGCACATGCACCTGGACTGTGAAGTGATAGGTAGTTTGCCATGAGCGAGGCTCCTCATAGCCAAGGGTAAAGAAAGTCACAATTGTAATGGCTCCAAAATGAGCTGTATGGTTAAAAAATTATTACCAGATGATTATGTCCTCTCTCATACTTTCCCTAATCAAATGTATATTTTCCAGAATGCAACACAGGCCTCCATCTATGAAGGGAGATAGGAACACCAGGAATGTGGTCAAGGTTTCTTAGGAATGCTCAGAAAAATGTCTCTTCTTTAAATTGAACTATTAAAACATATGAGTCAGCACAAGACAAACTTAAATTGAGGTTTATGGTAGGCTCTTAACACCTGAGGCCAACCTTCATTCTAAGACATAAAATATTCCTATTTGCAAAATGGGTTGGGGATGTGGGGATGAAGACAGTGATGAAACCTACCAAATCATTCCCTTTAATGACATCCACCAGTGGGCTTAAAATATTCTATCAAAATTTAGAACACACATAACAGCTATTCCACATACATACACTTAAGGATATTTATAAGCTTTTTTATAACAGCAAAAGTTATGTGTTCATTGAGTCAGACAAATTACTTGCATAATAGATTATTATCCAGCCATTAAGAGAATGGAGGGAAGTTAACATGGAAAAGTTTCCAATATTTTAATTTATAAAATCAGGTGAGGACATATTAAGGATATGCTTTCTCATATGCTTCTGTATCAAAAAATACATATGTGATTAGATTTGTAAATACATATTAACATTTCTAAGAACCTACATAAATGCTATTATGATAGCTTCCAGTAGAGAAAGGAACAAGGTAGTTTGCAAAAAGGTGGGGTTTTTTGTTTTGTCCCAAATGAATATATTATCTATTGATACTTTTATAATAACCCCCCTCAATAAAAATGTGTCTTTCGGGGCTGGGGATGTAGCTCAGTGGTAAAGCACTTGCCTAGCAAGCACAAGGACCTAGATTTGATCCCTGGAACAACCCAAAGTCTTTGTGTCACTTGTGTACATATTAACAGTGAAAATCCATTTCTGTCAAGTTGACTAATTTCTGGAAATCCTAACCTGCAGTTTTTCTCTGTCTTAGTAGAACACTTGGCTTGGGCAAACCAACCACGCAAGTGGCCTCAGATTCATTTGAAAATGATGGCTTCGAGAAGAGATGACTTCTGCAAATCTTTCTTGTCTGAGGTGCTGTGATTATATGACTCAATGATACATATTTGGAAAAAAAATGCAACAAACTGAGGAGGAGAATCTGGATGTTTGTCAGATGGTGTGTTTTGTTGAGTGGCTAACACAACTATATACAACCACAGTGTCACAGTGTATTTCATTTCTTAACAACACACCTTACTTTCCCATTCTTTTATACTCCCACATCTTTGAAGTACCTGAGGAACAAACAAAGCAGATTCAACTGAAGAAATTTATTTACTTTTTTTCTAGGTACATAGATGACATAATTATAGACAAATTTTGATACATAGGAAAACCCTTCTGTCCACCTTTCTTTTTGCTAAATGAATCATCACAATATTTTTTACAGTTTTTAAAACAATACACAGCTTTCTTGGGCTGAAGCAATTGCAAGAACATATTGGTACTGGTATATTACAGCTACTTACAATGTTTAAGAACAGCAATGGAGAAAAATAAGTTATTTAAATATTGATTTCATATACAGAAAGTGCAATGTTGTTAGTTGTTATATAACTTGCTTGACAGTATTCTCAATTTAAAATCAAGATACCTTGGACTCAGACGATTATATTTTTTTCTGAACATAATATAGTACGCACATGCAGGAGTGACTTGGTGAACTGACCTCTCTCACTGCAGTTATGAAAGCAAACTTTGCTATGTCAAAGAGTGATTTCTACTAGACAAATCATTTCCAATTTCAACCACACCTGGGGTCAGGACAGAGAAAAGCGCCTCTGAGTAAGGCAAGGCTGTGAAAAGCTATTTGCTTTATTTGGGAATCTAAGTAGTAGTTGGGACTGGCTGCATTTCCTTCCAGACAGCTGTGACGCTACAAATTACACACAACGACATGTAAACCTACCTGAGCCAAACTGCTTTTCCAGGTTTCTTTTGTGCTTTCCAAAGACATTAATTTTTATCATTACTCAAATGCTGTACCAAACGCAACTGATAAAAACTAGATATTGCTAAAACTTACCACCTTCAACATCCACAGGCAGCCCCAAACCACCTCAATCAACTGTCACACGTTCAGGCTTTTCTCAGATCAAATTAAAAATTTAAAACAAAAGAAGATCAGACACTAGAGATAGTTTAGAAAAAAATTTAAAAGAAAGTAAAAACAACCAAGCCCTCTCAAATCAGACGTTCGTGCTAAAAATTATTTGTGGTCCCTGAATTTAATTTTCCATGCAAAGGCAATGATTTCCAAGAGTGATAAAAATATGGTTTGACATTTTCAACATCTCTGGTGCTAGTTTTACTGAAACAAAAGCTCTAGGCTGAGAACAAATTAAAACTGGAAAACTCCCATGCGATTTCTCCTCCTCCTTTGTTGCCTCTAACTTGACCTTCATGCGGTCTTCTGGCTCAGCTGAAATGAGCAGCAAACTCTGTCCGGAAGCCAAGCCAAAGTATTCCAAAAGCAAGAAGAGAAGCCTGTTTTATGTCCTCCACCTCCACCACAAATGACAGCTAGTGAGTGCTGTAGCTAGCCCGAGGACCTGCAGCCCTACCACCTTCCAAATGGGCTATGGCCACAACCTAAGCGTACAAATATTGCTGGAACTTTTTAAGAATTCCACAGAAATTCGGTGGCTTTGCCTTTTTATTCAGCATTGCCACAATTTCTTCACATGGCATCTTAGAGAAGGTAAAATTCATGGAAGAAACATATAACTTTTTAAAAATGCACACCAATGCATGAAAAAAATACATCACCTGAGAATGTCCTTTTCCTCAGAGACATGAATCTAGATATATAAAGCATGTAAAGATGGCTTTATAATTAATGAAACCACTTCTCCCACTTCCCTGAGGGAAATCATTTAATACTAGATGAAACATTAGAGAACTTTTGATCAAGGTCTTATGTTCAAAGTGTTTCTATTGTAAATGATCATATTTGATGCTTCAAATAGTGCTCATGATTAAGAATGTGAAGGAAAAATCATTTTGTAAGGAATGGAAACCTTAATATTGTCTAAATTTGCTATGTGCTAGAAAATGAGACATGAGACTAAAACAGGATATGATATGCTGAAATCAGTTGGAAAATAATTGAAAATATGCAATATTCAACACATGGCTAGCGTGGTGTTGGCTCCCTAACAAATCTGTTTGAACAAAAAGAATTATCTAAATAAGAAAAAAGGATAACAATATCTTAATTATACAACTAAAAAAAACCAAAAACAACAAAATTATACTATTTCCCTTTTTTGAAACAGCTTTCTGAAATATTTAACCCTACACTGGCTTTCTGCAAGCGCCACCTCTTAGCAGATGGCTGAATTTTGCAATGGACATGGTCAGGATTCCAAGTCAATACTGCTATAGTGACCAATGTGGTACAATACTGAACTGATTAAAATGAAAGGCAGTTACTACACTCCCACACCCACACCCACACAGATATCTTTGTCAATTTCAGATAACTTTTTACTAGGCTGCAGTTAGTTCAAACACTGAAAGCCAACATGAAATGCGTGCCTGACAGTCACCCCTACAAAACAAGCCATGTTAGGATGAGACAATTAGAAAAGCCAATTTTTGCTGAAAACATCCCAGACATGTCACATGGCAGTCTTAGGCTGAAGATCTGGAACTAGGGTTACAGGGTTGTGGACACTAGTTACAGATAACTGCTTGAAAGCTGATATTAAGGCAAATAAAAGCTGATTGCTAGAAAGCAATTATTTAAAAGTCTCTTGTTTACCTAAAGGAGAATAGGACTTTGCTTTTCCTGGTGCAGACAGATGTTCTAACTTCTGAGGAAGCGAGCATAGTCTATAGTATATAATAATTCCCGAGTCTGTTACTTTGGCCTAGCTAAGCCTGTCTGGCTCAGGCATGATGCAGGGTGACCAACACGGGAGCAAGGGCACAACCAGAAACAAGGCGCTCTGCTCTCTCCTCTCATACCCTCTGGGTGCCTTTCTTCTGGACCCGGTCAGTCTGCCCATGATGAAGGAATTGCATCAGCTTCACGAGCACAGGGAAAGGCTGGCTCTGGTCGGGGGGTCCATGTTGGGCCCGGCTACATGGCCTCGGGGCTGGGTGGCAGTTTGAAGAGTCTGGCTGCGGACACGAGCTTCCTGATGTGTCGCTCCTCTGTGATGCCGGCCTCTTGAAGGCAAGTGTGCGACAGAGAAGGCACTTGGCTCAGTGTGCTGAACCCTGCGTCGGAGAGGGTGCTGGTGTACATGGGCAGGCCGATGGAGATGAGCCAGTCTGACACGGACGTGATGCATCCAGGAGCGAGGGGCTTCCTGCAGATTTCGGTGAGCCCACCACTTGGGATCTGGATAAACACAGAAAGCAGAATCTAAAGAGTCTACCTGTGCTGCCGGAGCGCCACTTATGAGCGTGCGCCTACAAGAACAGGACTGAGACACAAGTGCTGGATTATAATCAGGAGGGACAATGCTGCGACGCTCAAAAATCAAGACTAGAATCAGGAGTTCTTCTCAAAAATGAAGCAAACTCTGAGGTGTTCTAGCAGGCACCGAGAATTAGAGCAATAATTCCATGGTCCAATTCCATGCTCCAAAGTGCAAGCATTTTTATTTTTATTTATTTATTGATTGATTTGTTTTTCTCCGGTACCGGGAACCGAACTCACGACCTTGCGCTTGCCAGGCAGGCGATCTGCCGCTGAGCTAAATCCCCAGCCCAGTGCAAGCATTTTTATATCCGGCTATTTTGTCTCACTATGCTGTTTGTCCATAAGAGATCCCTAAGGATCTGCACAGACAAACCTGTGTGATAGTGTGAGAAGGGATATTCAGTGGCTGGGCTTTTATAAAGTAGATTTTTCTATTGTATTTTGATCTTCAGTAACAACCAGAATGTTCAGTATTTAATCAGTATAGTTATAAAGAATCTGAACTACAATAATATCAAGTATTGGCTAAGACAGGGAAGTGGATATTTAAATTTGACCACCGGAAGCCAGGCACAGTGGCACACGCTCTGGCACCCTGGGAGGCTGAGACCGGAGGAGGGAAATTCAAGCCTAGCCTGGGAAACTTAAAGACTTAGCCAGACCTTGTCTCTAAATTAAAAACTCGAAACAGGGCTGGGAATGTAGCTCAGTGCAGAAGTCCTGGGTGCATGAAAAAGTTTTTTTGACTACTGGGTAACACCTTTCAAGAAGGTGATTATGTAACGTGTGAAAATTCCTGCAATTTTGTGCAGCATTGATGAGATGAAAACTTTTCGAAGTATACGTCCTCAGAAGTGACTATGGAAGTACACAATGATTTATTAACAAAGATATCCCTTGCTATATTATACAAAAATGTTTCAACAGTGTGGGATTGGCTGGGCTGGGGATGTGGCTCAGTGGTAGAGCTCTCGCCTTGCATGCACAAGGCCCTGGGTTCGATCCCTAGCACCATACACACATACACACAAGAAACAAACAATGTGGGCTTGGCTAAACTATAGAATATCTACCTACTGGAACAGTGAGAAATTGATAATAGAAAGGAACTCCTGATCTGACAGCTAAAACAACCAAGTTTCCAAACTGTGTTTACTATTATACATGTACACTGAAATGGCTACGCTTTTGCACACTGTGAAGTAAAAATCGTATATACTGAGGGTATATTACTACACATGAAGACAGTATAGAGTAGCTAAATCAAGTTATTTAACATATGCATTACCCACCTATGTTTATTTATGGTGAGAATAGTTAAAATCTACTGCCCTGGCTATTTTCAAGTATTCATTATATTATTATTAACCAATCTGACACAGATGTGATGCATGATCATATAGTGTAGCAGATAGTGTAGCAGATCCCTTGAACTTACTCTGCCTGTCTGAAAACATGTGGCCCTTAGAACTTTTTTAGAGGTTTTCGTGGTACTAGAATTGTGTTTGCATTTCCTTCTAAAATTGTATTTTAAAAAAGCATCTAGGTGCTAAGGGTGTAACTGAGAAAGCTTGCTGAGATGCAAGAGGCCCTGGGCTCAATCCCCAGCACCACAACATGACCCAAATTCAGACAACTCTAGGCTCATCACATGCTGCTTTCTCTCCAGGCATCTCTCCCTTCCAGGGCCACAAGCAGCCCCTGCCTAGCGAGCACCTGGCAGCTGCTCGCCACCAGCACTGTCACTAAACGCACCACAAAAAACTGAAGTGAGGGGCACCCGAAATGCAGGCTGCTCACCGCCATTCGGTGCTGCTTCCGAAGCAGCTTCACCCGGATCTGGTCCATGTTGGTGGCAATGTCCTTCTCAGGCTGGTCTAGGTCCTCTGCATATCTCTGCACCAGGGCTTCAGGGATCCCACAGCGGCCGTGCTGTGGGGAGAAAAAGACATGAGGTGTAAAGGTAGCATGGATTTTTTTTTCCTTTTTCTAAGATATGCTAAATATAAGATTGGGTAAGACATTTAGCTATAATAAAATAATGCCAGGATTTTTGAGATGAGTATATATTCTTTATGACCAGGATGGATGCTTTCAAGGGAATACATTTATGTCCTTATGTTCCAAATACTGAAGAGGTCTAGGATAACTTCTGAAATGTACTGAAGGCAGAAAATGACCATCCTGCATTGTTTAGGTAATGCCTACATCTCATTCAACCTGACCATTTTGCAAAACCCAATTCATCTGCTGTTGTTGACGCTACTTTCCTAAACTTCAGGACGAACTTCTACTCTACAGATATTCCACTGTTTGCCCTTTGTGAGACGACATCAGTGGGCCACATCTTAGAACTCTCCCTACTTTCACTTCAAAGTGCCTTACTCATGAAATATCAAGGAGATGGAAGCAAAGAAGGGAGGAATGTGACCACCAGCACTCATGCTCATAAGAATTTTGTAACAAGGACTTCCAGGAATGCATTATAATGGCACATGTAGTCCCAACCAGCTCTGTTATTGCTGATTTGTCTTCAAAGTCACTTTGGTACTGGTAGGTCTTTTTTATCTTTTTCATCAAATGAGAAATGATTCTTCACTATAGATCTAAATGTTTTTCATACAATGGGAGTTTTTATATTATCACTTCCTCCTTATTATCTAGAAATCACTGTACAATATAACTACTGTATTACATCTGAACAGGGTCCTGCAATTTTCAAAGTATGACCCCTCTTCTTGTATTTGCTCCCAGCCATCCACCTGAGGTACTTTACAGAGGTCACACTGAAGCCAGCTGACCTACAGGGAGTTGCAGTGGGGAGGCAGTCATGCTTCAACACACATGTCAGGTCAGACATGGATACTTGGACTTGGGTTTCTCTTGCCCACTAACCCATCCCTTTCAGGAACTAGTTCTGGTTCTGATTACTCTCTCTGCAAGGTACAGCTGCCAAAAATTAAAAACAAATGAGCAAGAGCATAAGAAAACTGTGAGGCTGCATTCCCATGTGACCTGGGACTGTGGTCTTTGGTCACCAGGGGGCTGAGTGCCGGACAGGCAGAAGCCACTGGCAGTGGGTCACCACACTTCCAGAACAGCCTGTTCCAGGGCCACCTCCAGGGCAGCTTTGTGGGGGCTTCATGTTCCCTGGATGCCTGACAGGCAAAAGCAAAGGATCATGGGGTTGGGGAGCCCCATGCCTCTGCTACCTTATCAGAGTACGGCTCTTCTGTGAGGTCAATGCCTTCGGCAAGTAGCTTGGTCTCGGTGAGCAGTTCCAGGTCGACCCCCCGGTTGCAGGACACCTTCCTGCTCAGCGCCGGGCCCAGCTTCACACCATGCTCCTGCAGGCTGGCACTCTCGGGCAGCTCCGAGAGCCACGGCGGAGGCCTGCTACATGACGGGCTGCCAGGCTCCTGCCCCGAGGGAGACCTGGACACCTGTGCTGAGGGACCATCAATAGGGCTGGCCTTCTTCACTGGCAAACATGGAGCATCTGGGCTGGTGAGGGTCCCTGCAGGGCCCACAGGAACAAGGTGGAGCCCATTGGCAAGGCGTTCTCTGCTCTTTTTGGCAGGAACAGGTGGAGGCTGTGAAGAGTGTTTTGGCTGTGTCCTTGCCTCAGGGACCCTCTGTTCTGTATCTACTCCTTCTTTTATGCCTGGGGGATGGTGGGTTCCTTCAAAATCATGTCCTTTCCTGTGACCCTCAAGAGACGTCCTTGTTAAGCTGTGCCTGACTCCAGGAAGCTGAGTCTCATAGTTTCTGGGCAAACACTGAGGAGGTGAAGTGCCACAGGAAGAGGCTGCGGGGGGGCCTTCAGCTTTCCAGGGCGTCATCTTCTGAGAGTCAGGACATCTCTGGCTTTGGGTCAGTAGGGAGGCATTGTTGGCAGCAGAATCTCGCCCTGGAGGTTGGACCTTTGCAGTGGGGGCGGACGTCTTCTGGGGCACTTCCGGTACAACCTGAGGAGAGGCGTCTGTCCCCTCAGTAGGCACATCTTTTCCAGCATCAGGCTGTCCCTGGAGGTCATCCAGGGAGTGGGATCGGGGCCATGCCTTCACAGTCTGGGGGCCCTCCAGGGTCTCACAGCTCCGACAGATGGAAACCGGGAGGCTTCTTCGGTCTTTACTCACACCAGTCACACGAGGTGGGTCGCAGTGCTTGGAGGTGACCGGGGCACCACCAAGGCCCAGCCTGATCTCCTCTCCCTGCTTCCGAGCATCCACTGACTTTGTTAAAGGCAAGGTCGGGTAGGTGCCCAGCTGATTCCTGTGGAAAGGCTTCAAGCTGGACTCAGTTGATGACTTGGCAGGTAAGAGGCCAGTTTTCTGAGTCTTGCCTATGAGACAAGGGAATATTTTACAATCACACTTTAAAGCAAATCAAATTGACGCATGAAAGTGTATGAACATAATGACCATCTTCAATGTCCACAACCCGTTCTGAACTGCACTTTTATTTTTAGGAAGAATTCTTAGTCTTACTAAAGGACCTATGGAGAAATGAAATTATAATTGGATTATGCTACATTAGGCATTAAGAGACTTAATGTCTTTTCCTACTTGCAAGCAATGTAGAAGATGGTCAGTCATCCAAACCCTATTTGGAAACCACACAGATGGAATGTTTGTTTGGTTACTACAATTTCCCAAGGTCATGGCTGAAATGGAGAGGAGCACTGGTTCCTCTCAAGAGCTTCTATAAATGATGCTTCAAAGGAGTGATTAATGAATACTCAAAATCACACCTTCTTCCAAGCTGCTCCCCTGTAATAAATTTACTGAGAACCAACCAGACAATTTTGATATAGACCAGTAAACAAACTGAAGTGAGTGGCTTTGTCAGGAGCCACCTATAAAATGCTTCTATGGTTCTACGTCCCAGCAAAGCAAAGCCCTGGCTAAAATGAACTGTCCGCCTGATAAGTGAAGTCACCAACCAGGCACATGACTTATTTATCTGATAACTGTTGACTGGTATTAACTGCTACTGCTGCTCAATAAGCTTTACTGAGAACATGCTCTCTTATGGGACAGGCACTGTACTAGGGGAACACACATTAATTAACTGTCCCCGGTTTCACCTTCTGTTAATAACATGTTTGTTGTGGTCTTTGACATTGACAAATGCCAGATGTGAATGCCCCAGGAAATGAAACATTTGAGTGAAGTGATCCCATTACGTGAGGCTTACAGAAAAAGACTAAACCTACATTAGGTTTGGAAGGTATAAAGAAATGGCTGGCTCTAATCTCTAGAAAGCACCTATGTTGTTAAAAGTAAGGTTTTCTTCCTGATTTATTGCTTAGTTAAACATTTTTACCTACATGCCCAATTATTCAGTCTTGCCCCTTCAGTATATAAAGCAGCAAGAGAAATCAGGCCATAGACTGATTTGACTGGGAGGAGAGAGAAATGTTGGGTGGTGCCCATCCAAAGAAGGAAATGGGTACTTTGGAATAAAGGAGGGGCATTCTTTGATAAAATCTCTGTGTGTGCTGCACAGATGAAAGAAAAAGACAGAGAGAAAGAAGTCCTGAGGCCATGCTATTATAGAGCTTTCACCATTATTACCAGGGCAAAATCAGATTCTGCAATTTACGGACTTCTACCAAACTCACTCTAATTCCAAAGTGAAAATCTGCAATGTGTCACATCAAGCATAAGGCAGACCCTGAGACTGAGGTATAAGAACAGTGGCATCTAAAACTGACTTCATATTAGCGATTCCATCCTTTCCGGTAGGGCAAAAATCAACTTGTGAAATATTTTACATTCAGCACAGGACAGACCTGGTCAAATGACATTTGTCCTCCTTATGAACAGTAACTTGAGACCTCAAACACTGCCCATCTGTATGCTCCACACTAATACGCACCAGCATGCAGGCATTTATTCACAGGTTATTATTTTGTTGCTACATGGAGATCAGTAGCCTAGTGTTAGTACTGAATACACTGGCCATACTCCCATTTTTTCCCCAGAAAAGGGAAACACCTCTTCAGAAAACATACCACATTAAAGTTTAAAAATTGGTTGAAAGAGCAAATTCTTAAAACTTCTTTATTGTAAATTGTAGGAATACAGTGCAAACAGAATTGTGGAATGAATTCTGCTACCAGAATCACGGAAAGAATTAAGTTCATGAATCAAGGTACCACACTGTATGACTTTCCTTTCCTTTACCTCTCCATATTGTCATTTTCACATTCTGCTTAAACTGGAAAGATCCCTGGATTTGCCTTGAATTCAAAACATGGTTCACCATCTTCTTTCATCTAGTTCTTCAGCAGGTGCATCTGAATTCTTTGGGCATTAAAAATTCTGCCTGTGTTATCTGTAGAATCCTTATCAATCCAGCACAGTTGGAATTAATTTTCTGAAAACTTTTGGCTATGGAAAGTGTATTAACAGAAAAGCCTTCTGGACCTACCTGAGGATTTGATGTTTACCGCAATTGAGGATGTACTGTGACCTTAGGTGGGATTTATGTTCCATCATGACCTAGGCTACCTGGGACTGAGCACCTCATTAAAGTGTGCACCCTGGGCACCTACTTGACTCCCGCGGTCCTGATTTTGTTGCCCTAAATGGCTTTCATGTTATTTTTTAAACCTTGATTCACAGTAAGAGACACATTTTACATTCATTATCCAACACACATACACACACGCACATCCCACTAAAAGATTCTAAGTAACACTAGCAATACTGATCCTTGCCTTATGGGATGCATACTGATATTTTCTACACTATTTCTTTCAGCAAACTCCTGTCCACGATCTACTAAATTTACTGCCTACCCTATGAATTGGGATCTACAGCTTAAGAAAGGTTGCTTTACTAGGTGCTAATGCTATGCTAACACACAGACACATAGACGGGATTCCAATGACAGCTAAAAACTCTCAGACCTGAGCACTTTTCCACAATGGCCTTCAAGTGCTCAACAGAGATATAGGTCAAGTGGCAGCACAAGCCCTTGGCTATTGTTTTTAAATCACAATGATGAGAATTTTGAGGTCACATCAAACTACAGAGCTCCCCTGCCCCGTAACATTTAGCCTGCCTGACCCACTTCTTCAGAAAATGCTGCTTCTATCTGAGGCAAAGAGGCTTTCTGGAATTCCTCATGGACTAGTTTCTGCCCATCAGGCCAGGAAAGCCGCAAACAAGGCAAGTAGCTTCCGTCTATCTTCTCCCAGCGAACCTGCTTCTGCCCTGAGCCTACAGCCAGGGCGTGTGAGACACGGCTGCTGTGTGGCCCTGACGGATGGGCTACCTGGTAAGGTGTTCACCTGCTGGACCTAACAGTTCCCAACACTCAAACGTGGGTTGTTACCGCATAAAGCAAAGGGCACAGGAGACACACAATTTAGGCTTTATAGTTGCGGGTATTTCAGACAGAATTTATTAACCTTACGCAGCAGCCAGGATGAATAAACACAGGGGCTAACTGGAGAGCAGTGTGAGAGGAGGCTGCAAATGGAAAGGTGATTACCTGGTTCATCATAGGAAAAACAATCTTTTGCATACAATTACGCTCTGAAATCAGAAACTGTTGAACTAACTAGGTTCCTGAGGGGCCGTGCCGCCATTACCATTTTCCAGGTTCTCGCTGCTCTCGTAGCAGCCCGAGTCTCTTGGGGAGCGTCCACTCAGGCCCTGGCTGTCCACCAACAGCTTCTCCTGGGACCCAGACTGGTCACTGTTACCTGGAGAAGGGGAACACACGGCACGGAATCACAGAGGAGCAGAAGCAGAGGTCCCCACACCGGACAGATCCCAACTGCTTCATCCAGGTACTGCCATCTATTTTTAAGCCTTAAACTTTTAAAAGAGAACAAATGATTGTACGGTAAATAAGATGAAAACAAACTTGTGAAATCAGGACATTTCAAGTAAAGTACTGATCACACGAGGATACAGTTGGATATAGTTGGAATACGTCGACACCTTTCAAGACAGCCAAACGGGGACTTGAGCCTGTGTGGAGAGGAGGAAGGTAGGGAAGGTGTTAGCAGCAGGATCAGCATCACAGACCCCTTGCAGTGAGGACACCAACAGTGAAGGGCAGAGTGAATAAATGCAGAAATGCCCTTCATGGATGGGTCAGGCCATGTCCTTTCCAGAGATCTGTAAAACATGTACTTCAAGTTATTTATGTTACCACCTCTCTAAATTTGGAAGCTTACATAAAAATATCCAATATCAAATTTTATTAGCATTTAAGAGCTTTCTGCTTTGGAGACAGGATTTCACTGTGCAGTCCAGGCTGGCTTAGAATAAAACTCGAGCTGGACTCAAACTCGCGATCCACCTGCCTCAGGCTTCCAAGTGCTGGGATTACAGGGATACTACCACACCTGGCCTCTAGGAGCATTCTTAGTCCTAGGTAACCTAGGCTGGGTCTTGTGTTACCTCAGCAAGTCAGGTTGGCCAGAAGAGGCAGAGACGCTCTGGCAAACCTCCTTTTGTTTCTGCTGTCTGGGTTGCCTAGAGTTTCCCTTCTTCTCTGCCTTCTCCTGCTGTCTTGGGCCTGCATTTCTATTTCTTGCACACAGACCTAAGAGTGAAAGCTCAGGAGATACTGCAGCTGTCAATCCTGGCATGTCCACCTCACCGGATTCATTAACACCTAGCAGGTTACACAGGGTGCATCTGGGTGGGTTACAGACGAATAACTTTGAGTACTACCCCCGGTCCCTGGCCCCTTTCTCTCCAGCGCTGTTTTCTTGCTCTGCTTCCCGGTCACCACGAACCAAGCAACTTTGCTCCATCAAGCCCTCTGGCCATGAGATCTCCACTTTGGAACCAGCCAATCATGGACTGCAACCAGGAGCAAATTAAACCTCTGCTTCTTCATGCTGCGGCTATTGGGCATAGCGTCTCAGTGAGCAGAAAGTGACTAATGCACACCATGACTTGGTAACTGAGCAGGAGATACACTTAAGGCAGATGACTGAGAGCTGACTATCCTCCTTTGGAGGAATCTTGTTAAAGAGAAGTGCCGTTATTTGTTAACTGGATCTCAATAAAATGGAGGGGAGAAAAAAATAAGCAAAGTCTCAGGTGTGTCTGCTGCGGGCATCTGCTCAGAGGAAACCTGGGGGAGAACGCTGTGGGCTTTGCCTCTCTCAGTCCCTGTGCGTGTCCTGTGAGGAGCACGTGGACCGTATGTGGAGCACAAGGGCCCCCTCAGAGCATCTTCACGCTGTCATGCGGACTAAGTATGTGGTCACATAAAACGGAAACCAACAAAACACTCTACATAAAATAGCCAGTTCCAACAAGTGGCCTTCATTTATTTTCCTTTCTCTTCGCCTCTCACCCTTCTGCCCCCAACCACATACACAAAGAAAAAACAACCCAATAAACCAGAAATATGATGCCTGTTCTCAGGTCATCAAAATAAACATGTGCGGAGGAAGAGGGCTGCCACGGTACACGTGTGCTATGGGTTCCTCGTGTCCTCTCGTGACTTTCTGTTTGTATTTCTCGCAGGGAAAGCTTCCGTAACACAGATCACTACTGCAGAGACCGTGGCAGAATAAGTTCTTCGATTAGAAACACTAATGAAGAGTGCTAATTGCTAAGTGACTGTTGACACATGGACACATTAGAAGCCCATGAACAAACACTGTCACCCCCACACCAAAAACTGGAACATTCTAGACTGATGCCCTCATCGTGTGGGGTGAGCCTGTGGCCTCACAGCAGCCTCTATTCCAGCCTAGGGTGTTATTTAGGAAAATGATACTTATGAAATGATGGCTTTGAGCTCCCTGCTACAACCCAGCGGGAGGAACTGGTGTTCACAATCTCTGGTGGCAACAGTTCAGCGCGTCACAGAAGCCAAAGCTGACTCTGGAGTGCAGACTGATGTGAGGGAAGCAGAAGCCATGGAAACGCAGGCTGAATCTGCATTTGGGGGACCTAGCCTCACCCGGCAGAGCAGGGCACCTGGATTGTTATGGAGAGGAAAAGGATCAATCCCTCCTCCCATCGCCTGAAAAACATAGTCCAACTCTTAGTCATGTGCATACAGCAAAGGCATTTCAAATGTAGTCCCTCTAAGTATCTGATAACTTAGAGGACCACAGTAGTTTTCTGTCAAACTAAATTTTGTTACATTAGAAAGACAGGGTCTTGTTAAGTTGCTAAACTGCCCAGGCTGGGCTCAAACTTGTAATCCTCCTGCCTCAGCCTCTGAGAATATTGGAATTACAGGTGTGAGCCACCATGTCTGGCCTTCTTAGTTAGCATTATGAGGAATAAAAATATCCTCCTTCATAATGTCCCTGGCACAAATATCAGGATGTAACTCTAGGACAAGGGGTCTGGGTCAACATGGTATGAGACACACTAGGCCCAGAGGCCTGCTCTATACTCAGGAGCTACCTGTAGTCGGTCCTCTGTTTGGGTGAGGGAGGAAATGTAGTGGATAGTGCGTGGAAGCCAGCCATTTTCCATGGTTGAGGAAGAGCAAATGGGCTATGTTATAGAGCAGATGTGGTTCAGGAAAACAGGTGAATATTAATTTATAGCAATACGGCTATACTGGGCACTGTCCCATGTCACTGACGCACAACATGGCCATAGACCCCAGGGTGTCTCTTGGGAGACATAAATACTAGCAACCTCGTCATAAAGCAATACTAAGTACACAGTTCCCTCCAAAGCTATCCCTGAAGGCTACCTGTTTACCCAGGCTCAGACATCTATTTCACAGTGTGTCCCTCTATGTTATCAGTGAATTTAGAGGGAATACGTTTTAAGCAGAAATGAATGAAACAGCACTAACGTGCTTGCCTCTAAGTCCCCTGGGTCTGATGTACTGTCAGATGCTCTGCCCCTCATAAAGTTAAAAATATCATCAACTAAAAATGCACTTAATATACCAAACCCGCTGAGTGCCCTAACTTACTAGCACAGGACAATGCAGAGTACAGCCTGTTCACCCTCCTGACTGATGAGCTGCAGCCTGCTGTCCCCGCCCACCTCATGAGACAGCACTGGAGCAGGCTGCATATTGTAGCCCAGGAAAAATTCAAAGTATGGTTTCTATTTCACTATGCTTTCACACCACCAGAAAGTCAAAAACTCCTAAGCTGGGGATCATCCGTAACGCGGACTCTTTTCCTTTACCATTAACCATTGTTTTGGTGTGTCTTTTAGCAACAGAAATGCTATTAGCTACTGATACCTCTGAAGCAAAGCACTTGAAAGAAAATGCATTTGAATTCGGTAACTGGAAAGGATACCACCTTCATGATGAACAATTTCAGGAATGTTTGTGATGTGAGATTAAAGAATAAAGAGCAAGATAAGACCGGGTTAATGGAGCGGTGGATAGGATCCATTCAACAGACTCCATAAAAGCTGTGCGCTCCCTGAATTCTGTGCGTATGCTGTAAAACTAAGCTATCATCTAGTTTCGTTTGGAATGCTTCTGCTCCACATACTCACTTCAGAGACATTTCCTGTTTCTTTAATGGAAACTGATTAACTTCAGCCTGTTCAATAAGGAAATAACTCATGATTTTGAGACATAATTGACCCTTAGCTGCACAGGAAACTCCCACTTTTGTGCCCAGAGACCCTAGTGACCTGCTGAAGCCTGCACATCCCAACAGCCCGTAGGTCCACTGGTTTCTTAAACAACAGCAGGTCATTCTCTCGGGCCACGTGATAGAGGATAATGACAGCGTTATCCTCTATCATCACCTAGTCACATGCCAGGAAAGCTGTCAGGGCTACAAAGCGTTGTTTCACTTCCATGTTAACAGGAACGTCTGCTCTTGGAATTTATATCCTTGAGCTATCTAGCATACGGTGGACCCTTGACTTAGGAACTCGATTCATTCCTGAGGGTTAGGTAACTCAAGTTTTCAATTGAAGGCTCAGGCTCCTCTACACTGCCTTCAGAATCTCTCTCCTGCACACAGCAGATCTCAGTGTCCTTAGAGAGACACTGGCCCAGGATTTCTCAATTGACCCCCTACAGGAAAGGATGTTGTGATGTCCCTTCCAGAACTCTTGAAGGGTTAAATCTGTATCTGAGACCATCTGGAAGCACAAGCAGCCAGCATTCAGGTCATAACTCAATGCTTCAGTCATAAGTTAAAACTAAAATTCCGGTCATCAGCCAAGTTGTTCCCATGTCAGGCTGATCGTAACTTGAGGGTCTACTATAGTATGAAACTGACTTTAGTTTTGGAAAGAGCAAGACAACGTGAGGGACTCCAAGGACATGAACACTTTACTCTTCTTGGTAGTTTATAGAGACCTGCTGCTGACCAAAGACTGTGGCTCATGTACCAGTGACCCTGAGTATGTGCAGGGACTTACTGTCATATTCCTGTAACAGCTCTACTGCCGTCAAGAGAACAGCTCTGTGCTCCGGGTCTCTGATATTTAGTTCGTCCAAGTCTTCCTCCTCCAGGAGCTTGAAGGTGTCCAAGTCTTCGTATCCATTGAACAAGAAAGTGGGCATGTGCTCCTGGGAGGTGCGGAAAGAGGACCAGTGGGAATCAGCAGCTCAGCCCTGTGATACAATGCCAACTACTAGCCTCAAACCTCTCAGCTCTTTTTGTCATTTCTATGCTAATCAAGATTATCATCATTTGTAATGCATTCTATGCCTTCCAGCCCCCCAGTTCAGCAGGCAGGCAGACTGTTTTACTAATCACAGGTTAAGAAGATGTACAGTACAGACTGTGATGGGTTCCATGTCATACCTGTGCCCTTGATATGGACTAAATTCCTTTACCACCTTATGGCCCAAAGGGAGAAGGCTCCTCCTTCATTTACAGAGGTACGAACATTCAACTAGGCGGGCCCCTGAAATATCTCAGGAACAAGAGGATTGAGCAAGAAACAGAATCCCCCACTGCAGACCCACATGCCAGATGCTGGGAGTCCTGGCGAGAGGAGGTGGGAAGGGAGACACCTCATTGGCTCTGTGGAGCTGACTGTGTGGAAGGCACTAGGTTTGTGTTTACGGCCTTTGTTACAGCAGATTTTGATCTAGGGCCTAGACGACCACCCACAGAGCAAGTCAAGGGCAACAGGAAAATACTGTGACTTCTTCCACAGGATGGCTACTCCCCTCACTACCGGGTCACACTCGTTAGATGACACAGATCAGCCCCTCGCCTGGCCTAAACCTGCCCTCCCCTTGCTAGTTCAGGAGCAGGAACAGGCAGTGAGGAAAAGTGTGAGAAGAGTAAGAAGGGACTGACTTTCAGGTTGATCCGGTCCAAGAGATCCTCCACGGATTTGGGCTGGGGAGGTCTCCCTTTCCTCCTCCTCCTGGTGGGGCGCTTGGGCTTCTCCTCTTCCTCATTTAGCACATCCACGTAGATGAACTTGAAGGTGCCGACCTTGTTGTTCAACAGGCCCATCCAGGTCCCCATGGGCGGTTTGCTGATGATGTCAATGATGTCTCCTTTCTGCGGCCCAGGGAACACAGATCTTTCCGTTAGGTGCACTTTGAAGCGCGAACAGTGAGTCACAGAGGGAAACACGGCAGAACTGGGGTCCCGCACATGACCTCCCTGAGCCATCAAGGCAGGACATGACAGGGAGTCTGGCAGAGGCTGAAGAGAGCACTTGGGACTGTGTTGGATCCCACATGGGCCCAGGTCACAGGCTGTCCTCCTTCCTTCCTTCCGGCTCCTCAAGGTCTGGGATGCTGTGCTGTCTCCCAGCCTGGCTCTCTAAATACTCTCTCATCACCCCAAGAGCTGCTGCTTCCCAGAGAAAGTACTCCCTATGACTCACAGGGTAGTGGCAACCCCTGCCCTGTGGTCACTTGCTCTGTGGGACTCCATCTTCAGGTCCCTCATAAACATCTCTGTTCACACACAGAAGGCAGTCATCCATTTGTGCATGGAGAACACATAGACACTGGGGTGTGGGACCACAGGAGTTCTAGAGGGAAGCTGGGGTGAGAGGACAGGGCCCAGGCGTGGGTCATGAGGGAGTAACACAAGCCCTTCTGTCCTGACCCCTGGGTCGTTCTCAGTTTTGTCTTTGCAATGAGACAGGGGATCAACAGCAGTGATCACAGCCCGGCATCCAACAGTACAGAGGAAAGAAAGAAAAGGGTCCAGGTGGGCTTCTCTGACCCCTGGAGAGACCCACCTTGAGCTTGAGCGAGTCTGTGTCATAGGGACTTGGGGTGAAGTCGGTGTGCACCCGCGCACGCCCACAGAAGGGGCCCCGGTAGGGCAGCTCCTCGTCGTCACCGTCTTCTGACTTGACGCTCTCCCTGTTGCTGGCAGAGGAGTCAGTGGTGCTGACTGTCTGACCACCTGTGCGGGAAACACGGGAAGGAGGAGGCTAAGTATGGATTTCCCACATGACAAAGCGGGAAGGGATGGAAGGTACTGCAGATTAGGAAAGGGAGGCCCAGCAACGGGAGCTGAGCCCCACTACCTTGGGTCAGAACCAGAAGAGGAAGCACGTCTGACTTCCCACTGACTGAGTTCCCAATCAAGGTCGCGATGGCATAGCACACTGTCCTCATGATCAAGGAATCCATGTGACATGGGGACTCCCTGATGAAGACACCATAGTACCGGACACCTGCCTCTTCCTTTAACATCCAGGACCTCTTATTGGTACAGGACACTAATGCTACCACATTTCACAGACCAGGAAACACCCTTTAGAAGGTCAAGGAACTTGCCCAAGGGTAAGAACTTGAGAGCAGTGGACTTAAACTTGATGCCTTCCCATTTACTATTTGGCCAATACCAACCACCCTTTGGGCCTAGGGCAGCTGAACCATACTTGTTACCAGTGATGTTTGTAATCAACCCTCCTTACCTTACCGGTCACCTTTATGCGCCTTTTCCCTTAGCTTATCTGCCCACTTTTCTACACCCTTCCTCTCAGATGCATTCCTTCTCTGTCCCAGCCCAAATCACCCACCCCTCTGTGCCACTGCTTGCATCTATTACCAAACGAGTCCGACTCGAGGTGCAGGTATTTTGCAGGTCTGGTTCCCTCTCACTGCACCCTGAGGAAACTTGGTCTCACCAATCACTGACTTGCCTCAATTTCAAGCTCAACACAGGTTTGATTTTCATTCCAAAGGAAATTACCTGCAATTACAAACTGGACTTACTCATTGAGCTCTGCCCACTCAGAGAGCTCCGAAGACTTTCCACAGAGCCTCCAGCTTTGAGCTTGGGTTTGTCCATGTGTTCAGAGTCAGGCTGGGCAGAGGCTGGGGAGCCCGGCATTCCATTGAGCCCTGAGTCCTGAAAGGGTTAAGAAATTAAGTCTCACAAGTACGCAGGTGTTGTTCTGCAATTCTCAGCAGTGTGGGTTTCAGCTCTATCCATCAAATTGACTTTCATAGTCATACTTGATTCTAAGTCCTTTTTTTTTTTTTTGAGATAGGATCTCGCTATGCAGTTCAGGCTGGCCTTGAGCTCACTTTGTAGCCCAGGCTGGTCTCGAACTCACAATGATCTTCCTGCCTCAGCATCCTAAGTGCTGGGATTACAGGCGTGTGCCACCATGCCCAGTTTGATTCTAAATCCTATATTCTTTTAATTAACCTACATCATTCCTTAATTTTAAAGCTATGGCCAGTTATTAAGCACTCAAAAATTGTTTTGCATGTTCAAATAGATATTTTTGAAATCTCTGGCAGAAAAAATCTACCATTTCAAATCAAATCTACCAAATCAAACATTTAGTTAGAGGCTTAGGCATAACTCACCAGCCCTGTATTGAGGCTGGACTTCGATGTAGGTCAAGTACAACCCACTACTAATGCTATATCCAAAGTACTATTAGAGAATATCTCATCTGCTTTCAAGGAAAACACTTACATTGAAAAAAAATAGTTTATTTCTTTAAAAAAACAAGTGGCCGTACTGTCACGTTTCTGTTTATATAAGTTATTGACACTGGCTAAATAATTACCAACTTAAGACCCAGATACATGGCAAAACTTGTTTCTCCGTCTATCACAAAGTTTCCCGATGGCACTCTATGGCTCTGCTTCCTTTACTTCTTTCCAATGTTGCTAGCAAAATGCCACAAAGTCCCTTCAGGTCAGGCTGCCGATGCGGTAACTGACTCGGCAGCACTCTGCACTGTGCGGCGGCCAAATGCGATCCGCCCAGCAGCTCCTCGCTTGTCCGCGTATGTACAGCACACTGCTTGGGTCAGCGGCGCCACAGAGATAAGACACCATCCCAGTGTGCAGCGGGGAGTGTCTGCCTGGCACCGCGCTCTCTGGTATGTGAGACTTTCCAGCGCTGAGGATGTGAATACAAGACCGTCTGAATAAAACCTGGTGTTTACATGGTGCCAAATCATCAGAAGGGATTTCATACAATTCCACTGGCTCTCAGATGTGTAAGGACAACTGCAGCGACAGGTTCTGATTTGACACTTGCTGCTTTACACAGAAGGCAAGTGAGTAAAGCACCTCGAGAACAAGAGCGAGAAACCAAGGTCACGTGATCACAGGAGTTCCTGGAGCTTTAAAGATGATTCCTGAATTGAGTTTCATTCTTCCTTTCTGAATCTCAAAGCAAATGAGCTTTCCAGTTAAAAACTCTTTTCTAATGCTTCTTGGAAAAGTGCATGTTTTGAAACACAGCAAAATTACATGTGCATCTTGGTTTTATATGCTCTCCAACGCTTTTCAAATTACTAATTTATTTACCATCCATTTATTGATTATCTACAAGAAAAGGTACCATTCTAGGTGCTGGGCATATACCAGAAGGAGAGAAGACAAAAATCCCTGTCAGAGAAATGCCTATTAAAACAACACTGAGACTCCACCTTACCCCAGAAAGAATGATGATCATCAAGAAATCAAATAATAACAAGAGCTGGCGAGGCTGCAGGGGAGAAGGGAACCCTTCTACATTGTTGATGAGAATGTAAACTAGTATAGCCACTAAGGAAAACAGTGTGGAGATTTCTTTAAAAATTTAAATTAGAAATTCCATTTAATCCAGTTATTCCTCTTCTAGGTATCTTCTTGAAAGTGTTAAACATACGATATTACAGTGATACATCGATACGCATGTTTATAGCAGCACAATTCATAATAGGTAAATCTTGGCACTCACCTATACATCCATCAACAAATGAATTGATAAGAAAATGCGGTACTTACGCAGAGTACGTCTCTGCCATAAAGAAAGATAAACTTGAGTCATTTGTAGGAAAATGGATGTACTTGGAGACCATAATGTTAAGTGAAATAAATCAGATGCACATGTTTAAATATCACATGGTTTCTCTCATACAAGAAACCCAAACTATAAATAAGGAGCAAAATAAAAGATAGATCATAAGATGTAGGGAGATAGATCTTTCTTGAAAGGGAAGGGGATCAAGAGGTAGAGTGAGGGTACAGGGGAAGGAAAAGGGATGAAAAAGAAATTAAAATGCATTATGTGCACGGACCAACTCCCACACCAGCAATGTGAACATTATGTGCTGCAAACATGTACAAGGGGAGGGCAACAAGACTGCTATGTGGTAGTAAAATAACAAGAAACTGCTAAAAATGACATTAAAATTCTATGCTCACAATCCATACAGCAGAAAACCTGTAAGAACATAAGCTTATAAGGGCTCAAGAAAATGAAGTGCTTTGACTTGGTGGTGCTACTTTCACTGACAGACTGCATAGTGTGTTTCATTGCTGGGTAGAAACAGAATCACAGTTACTCCCACACTCATAGGACAAGGAAGGAAAAATGAGAAAGGGGAAGAGCCACGGAGAAGACACACTGAAGACAGCCCAGGCTTTCCCTTTGGTCTGAGAAGCCGGGGATTTGGGCCTGAGCACTGGGCATTCCGGACCAGCATGCTTTGCGGTGGGGCCATATATGCATGCTACTACGTTTGCAGCATTGCTAGCTAGATTCCAGGAGTGCCCACCTTACTCTGCCCAGTCCAGTGTGACCTTCGAAAATATCCCCAGATATTGGCTAGTGGTGGAGGGGAGCAAATAGCTCCCAATCTTACAGCGATAACCTCTGTCATGAACACGCGTGCTCTATGTCTGAACCCAAGTGCAGGTGGCTGGCTAGGAGGGGTTCAGAGAAACTTCCACAGTAAGAGGCTTGGTGTTTAGCTCACTGTGCCCACCAGGGGGCAGGAGCAGAGCAAAAATGTCTGCTTTTCCTGCTCCTTTCACTGTACTGTTTGGTGGATGAACCAGCGTCCCCACATACTTTATGCAGTCAGCCAGCTCACACACACATATTTTAAACAGGACGCAAAATCAGTAGCATAAGGGTGCCAGAGAAGAGGGCTTTGAAATCCAATGGTCAAAATTACGTAAAGGCCCAATTCTCCAAGTGTTTTTGTTCTTTCCACCAATTCCATTAAGACAGAAACAGGTAATGTAGCCAACAATAATTTTTTTTAATAGAATGGGGTGGGGCTCAATTCTGTGTATCTTAATGAGCACAGATAGGGCCAGTTCGTGAAAGGCCAAGGAAACAGGGCAGCTAGCAAAGTCTGGTAACCAGGAAGCACTTTCTGAATTTCCTTCTCACACTTGCTACGTCCTTCTAAAATACAAACTACATCTGAAAAGCCTGCTGTGCGCGGGCACTTCTTTAGCTTGGGTTCTGGTGGTAGTTTGCAGCAAGGGTATTTAAGAAACCCCTTTTGCATTCACATTTACAATGCTTATTGTACTAACGAATCACCATTTCTGTCCCTAGCTGGCTCTCCTCTTTTCTGGACACAGAAGGCAGGGACTTGTACTTTGTATTCCCAGCACAAACATGGTGCCTACACAACCCTAAGTGCTTAATTTGAGCTGTTAAGAATTGAATGTTTGCCCACATAAACAAAGCACAGCACTGGAGAAGGTTAACCATATACATACTTAGCAGCATTTATAATCTCAGGTGATCGTCCTCAGCTTCCCCGGGAACACGGAAGGGGCTTTCTGCTAGGTAACCACGTACCTGCTCAGAGACAGAGGTGCTGTATTTCTTAGACATTCTCTTCCGCATTGTCTCTTTCACCGATTTCACCTTCCTTCCGAGAGATATGCGGGAGGCAGTGGGTGATTTGATGACTTCTTTGTACACAACATCTCCTTCTTTTCCCTGTGCAATAAAATGTAAATAATCGTCAGTCACACAAAATGAAGCTCAGGAACAGGTTTTATTATCCAAACCATTAATGGCCACACTCTCAGAAAAAATATTAGCATTCTTGGGACCTTGACATTTTTCTTAGGTTAAGTCAGTGCTGCAGCCATTTATCTTTTTGATTAGAAATTAAAATCCACTAAGAGGTTCTTTGTTTGTTTGAAGTGGGATGTGAGTCACTTTTTACTTTAATCGTAGTACATTCTTCTCCAATTATGTTTTTTCCACTGTTTCCGACACTCAAGGGGCCTGCACTTCATCAGCTGGAGTGATCTACAAGCACCAGGGTTCATTCAAGCCCAACAGAAGGGAGGAGAGAGGGGTGGTATCCATGAGTCACCCCAAGAAAGAGCTAGCACCATCAGTGGTGGGAGCTGAGGCAGGAGAGCCCCAGCATTGAAGTGGATTTTAGTGTGATGGTCAGTGTGGTCCATTCCTAGGAGCATACATCTCCTTCCCTGAACAAGCTAGACTATGGCCATCTCTCATTTTATTTTGCATTTAAAAACAAAATTTCCTCTGAGAAAGGAAAAATAACCCCAACAACTCGTATTTTTTTAAAGAAAAACATTAACCACCTACAATTATTGGTTTGTGAATCAATAAAGTTTGCTATCCAAATAAAAGAATTTCCATCTTCCAGGAAATTCTGAAGTAGCTCATATCTCACGGATGGGAATTTTAGCTGAAACAGGGTTATGAGAAAGACTTTCATGGCAAAAATACATATGAGATTAGCAAAACCGGCAGGTAAAATTCACCTATATCCCGAGGCCTGAGAGAGCCTCAGGGAACAGCTCTGTGAACCTCAGTGATTAGCTGGCCTGGGCCTGCAGTCCAGAAGCAGGCCTAGGGAGGCAGTGACCTTGCCCTTGAGGGATCTAGTTTGCGATGGCACTGCGCAGAGCAGATTAATCCCAGGACATCCCCATTCCATGCACTGGGCCCGCAGTGAGAATGGTCGTTAGAGACGCCAGCACACGCTCTCGGTTCCCCCTCACAAGCTCCACCTGGCTGTCCTACGTGTGCGTAACTAGGGTGAAGGGAAGGGCTGAGAGCACAAGTGACTAAGTCCGCAGAAGCCAAACCCACCTGGGTTTGTCACTTGGAGAGCCATTCAAAGAACTGAGCTGCTTCAAGGAAAGATGGAGGCCAGAGGGAGTGGTCACTCCTTCCATATGGAACAGTGGAACAGCTTTACAAGAGTTTCTTTCCAAATATGACTGAGGGTCATGAGGAAAGCCAGTGTCCACTCTCAAAGGCACTAAAGGGGAAGCTACTGCCGATCATAGCATGTAAGCTGCCATCTGCTGCTGGCCTCTGGCATCTACTCACCATGGGGTCAGAACTGCCAACGTGCAGAGAACGATTGGTCAGGTCAAATCCTCCAAAACTGCAGGTTCTCTGCGGAAGCAAAGGCCAGAGCGGGAATAACCCAGTTATTCTCAAGTCGGCCACTGGTGCACAACCCAACACATGTCCCCGGTGCAGGCCACCTCTGAATCACAAAGACGTGTACGGGATGAATGTGGAGAACGAGAAATGATGAGGGAAAAACCCACATGATTCATGGCACAAGGAAACGTCACTTACGCTGCCCATTCACAGACCACTGGCGCTCTGCCTTCACCAGAGATCTAGAATCCTCTTACTGTGCACAAGACAACTAGTTTTTAAAACACAAAGTAAAGAAAAAAATTCCACAAATTTAGTGTTATAAGATTTCCTCTTTCTTCAACTTTCTTTAGCAGCTATAGACAGTAGTGACGATAAAGGAGCATCAATCAGCGGTCTAGAAACCCAGGTCTGAAGTCCCCTGCTTCGCTACCGAGAGCAGGCTTTTCTCAAAGACTTTTGTCTTGTTTAGTTTCAAGTCACTGAGAAGGGGGAAAAGAGGTTATGTTTATTGTAGCCCAATCAGGTCAAGAGGATTACTCACTCGTTGCTTCCCTGTCTTAGCCAAAACTGCTGATAACTTTCCCATCCAACTGCCCAACTTAATTAATTATAACCCTTCTTCTCACAGTGACTAAAGTGAAAACACCACATTTGCCCAGAAAGAGAAAGATGGATTGAGTGACTGTCTTTGACCACACTCTTTAAGTTTAATAGGAAAGATGCTGATGCTGTAAAAATGGGTGAATACTTTATCATCCTTTTAGTTGGTTTTATACTCTATAGAACTCCTTATATTTCAGTGATTTTATATTTCCAGAACTTGGATTGAATTTCTGTTGTTTTTCTACCAAAAACCACTCTTGTTCTCAAATGACCCCTCTTGTTTCCTTCCCACTCCCTTAGTGATCTTTTTAAAGCAATTGGTAATGAAAGTTGAATAGCAGATTTGGGCTCCAACATTTCCTGTCATCTGTCTCTCAGTAAACCCTAGTTAACAGCTATTAAATGGAAGCAATGAACAGAAAAATCACAATGCATATTCTATACATGGCTTATTTAACATAAATATATTTTAGACATATGGTGTGTAATAAAAAAATGGTGTCTCTCTTTTGTCTTCATAAGATGTGATCAAAAATGCAGTGAATCCTGCTGCTGAGTTCTGTCCGATGGAGAGGCAGTCTCACAAAAACATTACAGTGTGCCCTTATCCACTTTATCCACTGGATCTGGCACCACAAGATTTCTGGATCTTTGCCAAAGTCAAAAAGACCATGAAAGGTAAATGTTTTGAATTGACTCAGGACTTTAAAACAGCCATGGTAATGCCACTAAAAACACTCATGAAAGACTACCTCCAGAACTACTTCAGAGAGTGGCAAGAACAATGGGATAAGTATGTTCAGAGCAAGGGTATTTTGAAAAGGATTAATGGTAATGTGTCTTTTATTGTAATATATTTTAAAAATTTAAACATTCACTGGAGTGAATGTTTTTATCATACCTCATACATTAGTTTACTGTAGTGAGAAAGTAGAAGCATCCAGGGAGGAAAATGACTAAATCTTTGAAGTTGCACAAGGCAGATGAAAATTCTGGTTCTGCCACTTACGTGCTGTATGATCAAAGATTAAGTACTAAATTCTCTGAGCTTCGGTTCTGCATAACTGAAATAATATCTATATTATCTACTTGAAGACCCCAAGCACATTGCCTGATATAAATCAGATGCACCATGAGTGTGGGTTTCTTCCATTTCTTTTCATTATGGCTATGCTGCGAACTTAGTAGCTCACCCAGACAACCGTTATATTGAAGTCTAGGCTTAGATAATATTACAGATATGCAAATGGAAAGCAGGAGTTCGGCTCTGGGTTTTACCGTGTGGAAGCTCCATTATAAAACCAGAGGACCCCAGGAGGAACCCACAGCAGAAAGTGGCATCTGTGGCACAACGGAGGGCCAGGAGGAGAAAGAGGAAGGCATCCAGGGTCAACCAACATTCAGGATGTTACAGAGCTCTTCTGCTTTATCAGCATTATTGCTGCTGTTTTAAAGAAGTTACTGTTGACTTGTTTTCCAGGAGATTTGACCCTAACTTTATGTTAAATATCAACAGACAATCTGTTTCCCTTTACAGTAAATGTAAGTAGACTTTGGCTAGTCTATAAAAAGAGAAAAACCTCTCTGTAAAAACACCACATCATCTAACCAAGGTGCAATATTACGACCACGTCTCAAAGTAAAATTTGTTAAAGTTAAATTTCCTTTTCTAGCTGATAACGCCAAACAAGATTTCTCATTTTTGCAAAGCCAGTGACTTTATTCTAATTCTTGTCCTGTGACTCAAGGCTTCTTAGACACAGTATGGCACACAGATGCTTGACTGCTTTATGATTTTTCATGTCCCTGCTTTAAACGACATCTACTGTGGTGCAGAAGCCCAGTACATTATTTCTGATGCATATGAGACAATCAAAAAAGAATTTATGGGTAAATTATGACTGCAGTGAATTAGAAGTTCATTTAAGTTTTCATATGCCTGTTGTATGCATTTATGCCTAAAATAAAAACCTTACAACAAAGTGAGTGGGTTGAGTATTTTTCACTATCAGCTAAAATCTCTCCCAGAGATAAGCTAAGCTGTTTGGAATTGATTCTTTCATTATCAATGAGAATTGACGAAGAATATAATAATAAAGATTGCCTGAATGATTATCCATCTTCTTCTCATAAGATCAAAGGTAGCTCTCAAAACAACACTCCTTGAGGAGAAAAACTGTACAGAATATTTAGTAAAAAAAAAATAAACCAATCTTTGACTTTAGTGGCCTACATAAATGAAGCATAAGTGAAATTTTTTTAAAAAATTCATACATCTCTTGTACAGACAATTATAAAAACATTTTAGATAGATGCTTCACTGGGATGAGGAGAGCTCGTCAATGGGATGGTCATGCAGTGGAAAAACATGTTTTGGAGGGTTGGATTTAAAAATGGACAAAACTGCAAAATGCCATGCATGTCTGTTCTCCCAAACAAAAACTGAATGGCTAATAAAAAGCAAGACATGTGAATTGTCCAGTGAATTCAAAGCGTTATCATTTCCCTGAAGTTTCATCAAGCAAATATGGCATTTTTGACAGACAAAAGGATCAAGGTTGAAGATTAAAGGAAACTGCATATTTTGGGATAAAATAAAGGAAATATATGACAAGAAGAATGGAAAAGAGCTTTTTAAATAAAAGAAGCAAAGAATTAAGATCAATCCTTTACAAAAGCAAAGCTCTAGGGCTGCGGGTAGCTCAGGAGTAGAGTGCTTAATGCGGAAGGTTCTGGGTTCCATCCCTAGCACCAAAAAACAGACAAAATCAAACACAAAAACCCTAAAAAAAAGAAGCTCTTTCTATTAATAAAACACTTACTTTCTCTTACATTCTCCAGATATTCAGAAAATTAAATTTCATTTTCTTGATTATACATTTATACTGACAAGATAAACTACGTGCAAATTTCTAATTTAACACTGAACACACATTTTACCAAATATTAAAACCGTCCAGTACTGCCTCAAGCTTGGAGCATCTTTAAAACATCCACTTTGACTGATGCTTCTGACACAGATTACAAAGCACTATCTTTGGGGGAGTGGAAGGTCCCTGGGACTTGTGCTTAGAAACATGCTGGCTCAGATGTGCACCCTCAACATCACCAAAGAATCTATCACTGGGCCACAATGTCAATTAACACAAATCTCGGTGATACAACTTCTTGAGCCAGCCCTGAGGAAGTTACAGTATTAATCCAGCAATAAATAACCTGAGGGCCCATGAGCAACTCAAACTGTTTGAACTGGACAAATTCTCAGTGTCACATGATCTAAACTCAGAGGTGAGCCATCACTTAACAAGTAGTTCTGTTCTATTAAGTTCATGCCAAAAGATTCAAAGGAAGATGAACTGGGCACACCACCTCGGAAGAGTTTCAAAAAGTTCTACTGAGACTGGTACTTTACAAAAGACCTGTGTGTCAGAGCAGACCAGAGGCTGAATGAGTGACAAAGAGAATTCTATCATTTAAAAACAATAATAAAACCAACAAAAACAAATGTCACAATGCAGAAAGAGCCAGAAAAAAAATTTTTGCTACAGAAAAGTAGCATTAAAAATGTGGCCAGAATCATAAATGTGAAAAGACAGGAAACAAAACCTCAGAAGAAAGTCAATGCATGTGGGAATATTTGGAAAACCCAAGGGCTAGGAAGGACCAATGATCCTTTTGGGAACAGAAAGGTCGTTTTAAGGATGGCATTGACCAATCAGGCTTTATTCCCACAAAAGCAGAACTTGACTGAATGAATTTAAATTACAGTAATCATCAGGGGAAGAACATCCTATTCATGAATGCAAAGAACCCTGGGAAAAGCCACTATGGAAGCATATTCTGTTCTAAAGCTCCTTTCAAACCTTTCAAAGGGGCCCAGCCAGCAGCCTCCCCCCTGGGGGGTGTGGGAGAAGCTAGGTGCCAGAGGACCGCAGTGCCAGCTCCTTCTCATCTGCACTGCTTTGCTGGGCTACTGTGTGAGCTAAAAGTTAGGTGGGAATTCCACAGGGAAAAAGGCTATATTCTGCAGTTCAAAATATCTTACACCCTGAAAAAAATCTTTTTTTTGCTCAATCTCTCTGATCTTTCAGTATTAAAACTGGGAAACACTTTATTTTTTGCAAGTAAGGACTGACTTCTTGCAATGTACAGAAAACTCAGGGTGTGATAGAGGACATTACCAAATGTGGACTCCTCTGTTTAAAAAGCTGAGAACACTGAATAGATGTAAGTAGAACAAAAGTGCTCTAATTTACATTGTGCCTATGAGAGTTAAGAACTTTCCACTTGCCCTTATTAATTAAAGAAGGGTACTTCACCCTGGGGCTGCGGCAATGGTAAACTCTCCATGAGCTCCTTCATATCGTTTCATTAACTGAAAGAGCAAGCATCTCTTTTAAGAGCGAAAATGTCCTGTTTTGAATCAGCTCCTCTGAGATCAAGGGACGCGATGGCTAGCGATCGAGACAGCCACTTTGAGGGGTGGCCGAACCCAGCCCTGTGCCCTGGAAGCCCCTTTCTGGATCGGTTTCAATGTGTAGCTTTAATGAAAAACCAGACCGCTTCCACTGGCACGGGAAAGACGGAGAAGGAGAGACCCGCTACCAAGTGACAGTGCAGTTAGAAATTGAAGGTGATGGCAAAACGGACCCTAAAGGAATACAGCAAAGAGTGGGGAGGAAAGCAGGCTCCACAGGAGAAAGGCCATGATGCTTGACTGCACATCACAGAAATGACAAGGCCATCCTCACGACCCTCTCGGTGACTCACAGACTTCTGGTGGATTCTCAAGAGAACCCTTTTAGTACAGCGGTCCACTGTGGCAGCCCACTTCCTCTTTGCCTCCTCATCCTCCTCCAGCAAGCACCGCCTCAGGTCCTGCTTCTCGGCCTTGCTCAGGGTCCTGTCTGAGGCAGGACGCACTAGCTGGGTCAGGTTCAGGTGGCTGTAGAGACTCCGCTCCACCACGTAGGTGACATTGAACTCGCTGACCGAGGCGCGCCCGCGCGCCCTCCTGCCGGGGAAGCCGCAGCCACCTCCCCCTTTGGCCTTCTGCCGGGGCAGCGGCAGGTCGCATGTGGTACCGTTCACTCCTTTTCTGGAGGGACGCTGGCAGAGAAAAGCTCTGGAACAGGAATAATTAGTATCCGTTTTCTTCAAGCGGATTTGCTTGCGGACACTCTGAACCTCCTCCAGGGACACCAGGAAGTGGTGCCTACGGCGACGGTTGTCATAGAAGAAAACGCCGTCTGTACTTACCCCGTGGCTCAGGGACCCGAGGCTCTTCTTCATCTCCCCCTCTGTAAGGGAGCGGGACACTTTCTGGGCTTTCTCTTCTTCTGGATAGGAGAAAAACGTCCCCATCTTCTTAGGGGGCTTAATCAGACCCCGACTCTCTCCTTTGCTGAAGGTCTTGACCAACTTCCGGCCAGCTCCCCAGGTGTCCAGGCTGCTGGACGATGGAGATGTAGTGAGCGAGTCAGTGTCGTCTTCAGGAGGTTTGTCGGGAGAGCCATCAATGATAAAGGGCTTCTTATGCACTCCAGAGTAAAGGGCGGCCCTTTCGTCCAAGACTGGGGGATTCTCAAACACGAGCTCTTCCCCACCTGGAGGGAACCAAAAGAGTTCTCCAGTGAATGAACTTTTGCATTTGCCCCAGAACTTTCTTTACATTCTCTGCCCTGAAAAAGATCAAGCAAGTCACACAGAAACAGCAGTGCCCTCCCTGTGCATATCACGAACCTCTTCATAAACATGACTCCCACTCAAATGTACATATAGCAAAGAAAATAATCAAACTGTGCAAATATATGTTTCACGCAAACAATATTAAAAGGTTGTGATGTGTCTGCTTCTCCTTCTATAAATTTCACTGTAAACCCAGCACCTTCAAAGACCCATTTAAAATGGCATTTGCAAAGGGGAAGCCAGTCATTATCACGATATGCCTTAGCTACAGTTTCTGAGTACAATCTGCAGAAGCTGAGAATCCGTCTTCCCCCTTCTGAAAGGCTCTCCTTTACGCTGGTGCTGGAGGCTTTTTATAGTTGGAGTGTGACGGATGCCATGTGGCTGACAGTGATTTTTTTATTAGTACATATGCCATTTAAGTGACTAAATCTCCAAGAGAGTTTGGGTGGGGAAACACCACAGAGGGTTAATATCTTGCAAATGTGTCTGCCAAATGGTCTCCAGTCCATTGGCCAAACACAAAAGTTAGGGAATTGGATGACCCCAACTAGATATTCCCACCAACTCAAGACCTGCCTGAAGCAGCACTGAAGGGCCCTGACACGCAGGCAGCTCCATGGAGTGCTCTACTTCGCCTCAAGGATTCCAGCTCTGGAAGTCCTTGCTGGAACCAGGTAGCAAGCCAGACCCTCCAGAGCCCAGTGGAAAGGCCTGGACTTGCTGGCAGGAATACTGAGCTCTTTTCTGCCTGTGTTATGCGAACAGATGTGAGAAAAGAAGTAGGTCAAGCTGTGGGTGTAGTGATCCCAACTGGCTGCGTCTCTTTAATTATAAGGAAACTTTGGAGCTTTGCAGCTTTCTACCAGCTGAATAGGGAAGAGGAAAAAATACAAAGTTCCTCGGAACAGAAAGACAGCATTAAATATACCAAATGGAACAGGGGTGCCAGTGTGCGGGTGAATGTCAAAGAGAAGGGATACGACGCTCAGTTCAGCAGGGATAAGGTGATCTGAATAATAGCAGTCCTTTAAAATTCAAAACTAACTCCCTTTTCCATTTGATGGGAAGTCCAGTTAAAAATATACATTAAAAAAAGAAACTGCTGCTATTAATCCAATCCAAGATCAACTTTACATTCAGGCCCAGGGAACAGTGGTGGGAAAGGGAGGGACATGGGGGAGATTCCACACTTTGTCTATCCTGAAGTGCATTCAAGCCTTGCTTAGGGATCTTCTAGGAGAATTTAAAAGCAGGTTCCACGGTGAGAGAGGATTTGGCCAGAGAATGTGAGCAGGTGTCATGGACGCTTCCTGCTCCCTCCTTGGAACACCTAACACAGTATGGAGAGGAAAGGTCCCTGTGTTGTTACAAGTAAACCTCACACCCTCTCCTGGAGTGCCATAGGGAAATGCACTCTGCTTCCAGAAATGAGCGGGTCAAGGCCTGAGGCACAGCCTGACAGCAAACGTCTGTGTCAAAGCAGTTAAACGTGGTCATGGCCTACACCAAGCTAGCTGTCCCTGCGCACATGTGAAGACCCTGAGTGACCTGCTGTCCTAAGGGCCTTCAGGGAGGTCTGGTAGAACTATGCTGACTGCTGTAAGGATCCATCACTCAGCCACAGTCTGGACATTAGAGACTGTGGGGCTGTCATCAGAGAGTCCAGTACCTCTGTGTTGCCTTATATCCAAGTCTGGTATCGGCTGGGCACACACATCCACAACACACATAACTCTATCTGCTAGTTCTGGAGAGTCCGCACCTGGCGAAGAGTCAGGGGGAACGGTGTCAAATGTGCCTGAAGAGACTGAGGAGACTGTGCGAGCCTGTGCCAACCCCAGGCTGAGGGAGGCCATGCACAGCGTGGGCTTTTCTGTCAGTGTCCGACCAGCTGCCTGCACTGCCAGCCTTGTCCTGGACTCCTGGGACTCAGGGCATTCCTTCCCCCATCTTCCTTGGCCGCAAAGACCTAACTAGCCCACTGGAGGAACAGCCACGATAGGGGATATCCTTACTCCACCTCATTTGGTGAAATCGGTTTCACAGGAGGGCCTTGACTTTATCATACGCAGCTGGGATCAGAACACTGCAGGCAAGGTAACCCTGCCCACAGGAAATAGGTGGACTTGACGCCAAAAGCACAGCTTTGTACTCTGGATTCCAGCCCTGGCTCTGCTGCTCGCCAGCGCCATGACCTTGGGCAGTTACTTCTGCCTCTGAGCTTCATCTGTGGTCGTGCCTGCTTATGGTTACATAGCAGCCCTAGTGCGGCTACCGTGCGGGTGGAACTTCACGAAAAGGCTGGTGTGAGAGCTGGTGCACTCAGGGGAGAAGTTTAGGTTCCGGGACAAGGCACAGAAACAGGCAGGTGCAGAAAGCAACATGGCCTGAATCGCACGTAGCCCAGGTTCGCTGTGCCGGGCACAGACTCGAAACTCAGGTGAGGAGGGTGAGGCTGGGTGAAGAATTATCGTCCTGGCCTTCAAGTGGAGATGCAGGATGTCCTGGAGCAGTCAGGCTGCCCGGATGGGATTCTGGGCCTTCTGCCGGCTGGCTGAGCAACATCAAGTAAATTATTTTGTCTCTTTGTGTCTGTTTCCTTATTTGTGAATGAGGATGGAGGAAGTGCTGGCCATTGGTAGGTATTCTGAGCATGGCATATTAAAAGGGAACATAAAACCTGAAGTGTTTAGGAAAGTGTCTGGCACATAGAATACACTCAGTAAATGGTAATTATTATTCAGACAACTTAGTCAGGCACAGCCGTGCAGGAAGTCAGTCCCAGAAACCAATCTCTGTGAATCCAAGGGCACTGGGGAGGAGGGCCTGCTGGGACTATGAATCCTGACAGCTGAGGCAGTCTCTCCCACTTACTAGGTCTTCTGACAATGAGGAACTTCAGAGTTCCTTCATGCAGGGGCTAGAGGGGGTTATAGCCTAGCAGGCTACGCAGGCACAGCACAAAACAGACACCCTGAGCCTGACACACACCTGGGGACAAGCCAGCCAGGGGCAGCCCAGCTCCCAACCCATCAGACCCTGGAGTTTGGCCTGCAACTTGAACTCAACCAAGTCCATTTTCCATCCATGATGCCTAATTCATACCCAAACCTAGTATATATATAGTATATATATACCCAAACCTAGTGATTACTTTTACTTTTAAACGATCTCTTTTGTTGTATTTTTTCCATTTTGTTTTTCCAGGAGGCCTCTCAGGGATATTAGGCTCAATTTATTCTGGCATGCATATGCAAATGAGGGTGTTTCTGTATGTCTACAGCACTACTCTTGTGCAAAGCCTGCCCTGACACACTTGACTATCACATGTGAAGGGCCTCCTGGGCAGTGGGCCCAGTACTGGGTACTTCGCCCATTTTATCTCATTTATAGACAAAGCCCACCAATCAACTTGTTATAGCTGAGATTCGATTTTGGCAAGTGTGCACGAAGTTTGTTTTCAAATGTGCACTCAAGGGTGAATGTTGGCAATTGCATGTGGGTCTCCCCACAGTTCCAACTGGCACTCTGCATGATTTCAGTTAAGGCCTGACATGGCAGGAGGAAATCAGGGTGCGTTCTGCAGTATGGGTAGCATGGGTGACAAGCAGGCAGTAATCCACATGTAAAATCACTGCACTCAAGTATACACCAAATTACCATACAAAAAGACATCCAAATGCAGCCCTGGAGTCAAGACAACTCCAAGTTTATGAAACAAACCATAAAGCTCAGCTCAGCTCATCAGCCTCCCCGTTTTCCCTGCAAACCCCATTGTTCCTGTCATCTCCTCGCCTTCAATATTATTTTAGAGGCTTTGAACCAATCAATAATTACAAACACATAGGCTGGGGATTTAGCTCAGTGGCAAAGCGCCTGCCTGGCAAGCGCAAGGTCATGAGTTCGGTTCCCGGTACCAGAGAAAAACCAAAAA